TTTCTCTTTGGCCTCATTTGGGAAGAAAGGCCACAGAAAGGACTTGGGTTACTCTTTTCCTAAAAAACTTTTGTACTTCAGGGACTCATGACTAGTAAAATACACAGATTGGTGTAAATACCCAAACAAGAGAGTCATTATCCAACGAAAACATCTTCTGAAAACACAAGTCAATTTTCCTAAAGGGAAAAAGAATCCTTTATTTGTGCCACCTGAGAATAGAGACTATCTAAACTTCACTGGTAATACGAGAAACTGACCTTAACCAGTGGTTTAAATTGCTCTCAAATTTAATCTGCTATTTGAAGAGCTAACCGGAAACTAGACCAAATAGTTCAAGTTTTAAGTTTTTCCTCTTTCAGCCCAAATCTGTCCAGAAAAATATACTGAAGTACAAGGAAAAGACCAGAAGGTTTGTGAGAAATAAAAACATGGAAAAGAGAATGGGGAAAGATAAGCAAGACGCACACTTCCCAGTTTCAGAACCCTGTGCACTGAAAACCGGAAGTGACGCTCAGTGCCCTTCCGGTGTGCTCGGCCTGCACTTGAGTCACTCGTTTTTCTGGTCCCTGATTTTCCCCCTGAAATTGCATATGCCCACCCCACCCAAACAAGAAGTATCTTTAATACTTATCGATTGGGTTCCTACTTACTGGGAAGAGCTTATAAAAACTATCCACAAGGCTAGGTTTGCTTCAAACACTTTAAGTCACGAGAACCCAAGCGTGGGGTGTGCTAGGGAGTTAAAGAACCCAGGAGACCACAGTGGATCCTTCATCCAGACTCAGGCTGGGCTGATGTGGGAACAAGGGGCCCACAGACTGGGCTGTTTCATGAGGCAGGAGGAGCTGACCCCAAATGCACTGCCTCTTGTCCCTTCCATAAACACGGCTTGGAGTTTCCAAAGGGATCCATCAGTATTAGTCACAAGACACCTACTAGATTCTACAGACCTCCACCATGATGTACCAGAGAATTAGTCATGCAGAAAATTCTTGAGTTCCTATTTTCTATTTTCTCAGTTTTCTCAAGGGTAGGTTGTCACCAATATCACTGCAATTTCATAGAGGAGAAAGTAATTCTTTATACTACTCCATGCCTTGGGACAGGTGTTCGCAGACCACAGGCACACAGGCCAAATGCAGCCACCCGACTGCTCTTCTGAATAAAGTTTTTTGTCACACAGCCATCCCCATTTGCTGAGGTTCTGACTCCAGCTGCTTTCAAGCTATAGTGGCTGAGCTGAGTGGATCATCACTGACATCAATGAGTCACACCATTGCTTATAAACCTACAAAACCTCTAGTAGAATAAATAAGGAAGTGGGTCCCTAATGGGGTGATCAGGGGGTCTGGAGAACAAGTGTGCAAAGGAGATTTTTCAGCACACAGCTTTTTGTATCTGTTGAACCTTGAACCATGTGATATATAAATGATCAAGATAATTAAGCTTTTAATTTAAGAAAAGAAAATATGTTCTTTGATTTTATGTTCATCTCCTTTACCAGCATTGTAAAAACAACTGAAGGAGAAATGACACTGGGTTTTCTCCAACCTCAAACTGTCTATTGGTAGCTCTCCCTTTGAGTTCATGGGCGTTATGGCACATACCTATAATCCCAGCATCTGGAAAGCTGAAACAGGAAGATCACAAATTCAAATCCAGCCCGAGCAACTTAGTGATTTAGAGACACTCTGTCTCAAAAGTTAAAAATAAGCCTGATTTGTAATACACTCCTACAATCCCAGCATTTGGGAGGCTGGATTGGGAGGATCATCACAAGTTTGAAGTCAGCCTGGGCTGACTTCAGTGAATTCAAGGCCAGCCTGAACTACATATTGAGACCTTATCAAGAAAGGAAGAAAAAAAGAAAGAAGAAAGAAAGAAAGAAAGAAAGACCTTTGACATGTTTACATGTAATTTCTCGTTTCATTTAATGTCTGCAAGCATGCCCTCCAGGACTCTTCCCTTTCCCTCCTTTTGCTTCCTGGCTTCCTGTTGATGAGATCTTTTCTCCACCACCCAGCCCCTCTGTGGGGCTCTCCCCACCACAGGTCCAAAAGCAGCAGTGCCAAGCAATCATGGACTGACACCTCTGAAGCCATGAGCCAGAATCAACCTTTCCCCCTTCAAATTGAGTCAACGAAGGTATTATGTCACGGTGACAGAGAGTTGGTTAATGTAACTCCTTGAAATTTTCACCTAACATTCAATAATTCACAAAGTTCTTAACAGTATATGGAAAATGAAGTATACATTCATGTTTGGCAAGGATTTATGAAGACTTTAAAGTTTAGAGGGAAAAATAACATAAAAGAGATTCAGAGTGCATGATAAAGCCCAGGGATAAAAGGACAATATCTACTTGAACTTAGCATGAAAACAGAAGTCTCCATGGTTTCTTAACAAAAACACAAAAGAAACAGAAGAAAACCTCAGCCTTGCAGTGTCTGTTATTTCTCAGATAACAGTGCAGCGTGGCTGACAGTTCGCTTTGCACTTGGATCACTGGAGCTCAAGGAAGAACTTGGGACTATTTCCATCTAGTGATGCCACTTCATCATCCATGAGCAGAAAGCAAGAGGATTGCAAGTGAGAGATGTTGAGAAGCAGATCTGAGAATATGTGTATCACAGCTGCCTATAGTCCGTGGCCAGAATGGGCGAGACTGTGTACAATGTGATTCCAACAGTAGGGAGACGGGTCTTCTGGTGTGCTCAAGACAAAAGCAAAATGCTGTGGCACATGGACAGCACTATTTTTGTCTTACAGGGAATCAGGAAAATGCAGAACATATAATAAATACATCTCAATCATGATTTTACTCAACACTACCAAATTAAAGTATCTTTCACAGACTACTGCTGTGATCAGAAAAGCCATAGGAGCTTGCTGAAATGACAAAGAAGTCACTTTAAAGCCAGGCATGGTAACACACACCTGGAATCTCAGCACTCTGGAGGCTGAGGCAGAAAGATGGTTTCAAATTCGAGACCAGCCTGGGCTTCAAAGTGAGCCCAAGGCCAGCCCAAACTGCATAGCGAGACCCTGTTTCAAAAAGACCTCCCCCCCAAAAAAAAATAAAAGTCATTTTAAATTACATATTTTTTCACTAATTCATTTTTCTGAAGAAACATTCTTCTGAGTGTATTTTCATAGATTCCCTACATCTCTCACATTCTACCTACATTTATTGCAAACAAGAAATAGAGAAGTAAATAGTATAAACTGTTTTTAAAATGTAGTAAAATCTTTACCAACTTATAAAGTATAAATATGAAAAATATTGTGTAGTGTTCATATATTCATATAAAAGCTTATATATATTTATTATTAACTGTTATGTTTGTTATGTATGCCATATTTCCTTAATGAAATTGTGTCTTGCAGAATGCATGAATTTTTTCTCTTCCTGCAGCAATATTTTGCATGTGATCAACATTCAGTTATTATGGGCTAATGGACACAGACACTATTCATCTGTCTCAAAAAAAAAACATTATAGCTGGGTATAATCCTGCCTGTAATCCCAGCACCCCAGGAGGAAGTAAGTTTGAGCCCAGCCTTGGCAATATAGTGATTTAGTGAGATCCTGTCTGAAAAGAAAAAAATTTTTAAAAAAGAAAAAGATGAAGATGAAGATGAAGAAGGAGAAGACCAAGAAGTTGTTTTTTAAAAGCGTGGGGTTTTAGCCCACAGTGCAAAGACCTTGGGTTCATCCCCAGGATTGGGGGTGGGGGTGTGTTACATTTCTTCTTCTAGGTTATCTTTCAATATTTTCTCTTCTGAATTCCATTTTGATATTCATTTTTATCACCTAAAATATGAGTAAGATCAAATTATATTTGTTTCAGCCAATATCGATTTTGTACTCCCATCCTGTGCGGACTGACAGCACAGCTAAGAGACAGATGTGGCCTCGGGGAACTGCAGTCTTTTAAGGGAAACGGACAAAGAGACATTTACAATATATTGTGATAAGTATTTATGACATTAAAGGTCCAGCGAGCAGCACACGGTGGCACATGCCTGTAATCCCAGCACTTGGGAGGCTGAGGTAGAAGGACTGCCGTGAATTCAAGGACAGGCTATGTAGTGAGGTCAAGGCCAGCTCAAATAAATAAATAAATATAAAATAAAATAAAAGTTCAGTGAATCTGGGAGAATTTGGAAAAGAATAAGAAGAACATTCTGCAGAAGTCCTGCTAGAAACCACAGCACCATCCCAAAACACAACGTTGAGTTGAACCAGGCCCAGCTCATGATCAGTGCAAAGTCAGTCTCACTCCTTCGGGAGGAGCCCAGCCCCACTTGTGCTCTCTGACCTTCCAGCGGGATTCGGACTTGCTGACCGTCAGCTCCGCCTGTGTATGTCTATAGTTCAGTGAGATGGCTTTTGTGACTCAGCCTAATTAGACCACAAGAGGCTCGAGATGCAGCTCAGTGAGAGAGCACATGCTTAACATGTTAGAGTCCCTAACACCCCAAAAGAGAAAAATTAATCAGGCCACATATCATAAACATAAAAATCAATGAGCTCAGTTACTAGGAACCTTTTACAGTTATGTCTTCAATATGTGACTCTCTGAAACCATCAAAGTACAATTAATTGCTTAAGCTTGTTATGGTCAATCATTAAAAGCAGATTTACAAATGCAAAGGTCAAAGCTCATCATAGGCAGATTTCTGTGCCTGGTTTTGAAATGTTTAATCCCATCATATTATAAGTAAACACCTGGGGATGCGATGCCAGGAATGAGTTCACTCCCTGGAATGGGGGTGGGGGGCTTTTTTATTAACTGTGGAAGCAACCAAAACAAAAAGCTGTGTTTTTCTTCTCTTACAATGCTTCCTAATGACATCCTGAAATGGTATCAGACTTCCCTCAAGAAAAGGTTTTATAAGAAAATTTATTCTGTCTAAGGAAATTCTTAGAGATCCCAAAGGCAATCTATAAATAAGTGGATAGTTACATCAGAATCACTTGGGAACTCTCAAAATATCCTAAAACCTCTTTGATAAATCAGTCTAACGTCAAATCTTGTCATTTGTATTTTTGAAAAACCCAAGAAACTGTATGCTGCTCAATTAGGAAGCACTATTTATACTGCTTTTCCCTCTTTGAAATATAAATGCAAGAAAATACTTATAACTGAGAGTGGGTGCCGTGCATGCACTGTCTGGCAGAAAGCCAGATGCCGGCTTTTTCTGTGAGTCTGTGCCATGGCGGACTGCTGAGGAGGAGAGTGAGAAGTCAACAAGAAGCCGAGACCTCTTGTGAGTCAGTGCCATGCACAGGCTGACTGGGAGACAGCCAGACGCCAGCCCTTCCGAGACCATGATCTGGGAGACAAGAAGAGCTAAGGTCTCCCCCCAACCCCCGAGAGCAGCTAGCTGGTCCCGAGAAACACAGACTGTGATGATGGCTAATGAGGTGAAATACAATTTAATGCTTGCAGTGTTTAGGGTTTCACTGACTTCGCAGGCCTAAAGCTGGTAGTCTGATCATCTGCTTAGAGGATAGCAATACATAGTGTGGCATCTGTGGGGGATCTCCTGAAGATGGTAGCCATTGTTAATTCCCTATTATCTTGTTTTGAAGTCCTGTATCATTCTCATTGGTTTGTTGGGTTGGGTTTTATTTTGTTCTATCTTGTTTGATTTTATTATGTCTGATGGCATGAGCAGTTATTTTGAGGATAACAAGATATATTATGGTAGTCATATTGGGACTATCATCTTGTTTTAAAGTCCTGTATTGCATTCATTATTTTGTTTTTGTTGGTTCTATTCTGTTCGATTTTACTATATCTGAAGATATGAGCAGCTATTTTGAAGGTAACAAGAGGCATTATGGTAACCATTGTTGATTTCTTATTACCTTGTTTTGAACTCCTGTGTCACTTACACAGCCTTGTTTTGATTGGCTTTATTCTGTTCTATTTTGTTTGGTTTTAATCTCTGTAAAATAAAATTAATATAGGGTCTTGCTATGCAGCCCAGCCAGTCTTGGGGGGAAAAAAAAAGAAAAGAAAAGAAAAGAGAAAATGTATATAAAACACCAGGCCTGGGATTACTTACTTGGAATCCCAGCACTCAGAACGCTAAGGCAGGAGGATTGCTCTGAGTTTAAGACCATTCTGAACTACATAGCAAAACCCTGTCCTTAAAAAACAAACAAAAACTTATAGGAATATATCCCTGCTCACAAAAGAGTTCAAAGAGAAGAAACAGGCTAGGAGTCAGGTTATATCAGACTTTAAAAATTAAATTCAAAAATTAAGTATTCTTTAAAATATCAAACCTTGTCAAAATAAGACCTTTTCTACTCACACCTAAGATCCCTAAGGCTCACACATGCTAACAAGCACTCCACCTCCAAGCTACATCTCAGCGCTCAAGATTTCAAATTACCTATTAGTGAGGAGAATGGTATTCTCCAAAGGAGAGGTAGAAATGATCTAAGAAAATCATAGAGAAGATAAATCTGTAGGTGTGGACTTCAGCCCTGTATCTCACAAAGTTGTGTCTACAATAAAAAGTGTAACCTCAGAGGTTTAATCTGGAAGATTCTGCCGCCCCGCCCTTGCCAGTTCACTGGAAATGGTCCATGAATAATTTTGGGATGTTACACTTGAAATTTTTTGTTTTGTTTTGCTTTTCTTTGCTTTGGCAGGGGGAGATGGAAATTTGGGTGGACATGTCCCAGTCCTCTCCGGGCGTGGTGGAAGACATTAGCCACTCATGTAATGTGGCACAGAAATTCAGATCACTCCTTGGGGGCATGAACAGAGCTGGGAACTGTGGACCCAGAGGCCCCAGAGGTGACAGCCATAGGGGACCAGCCTGTGTCTTTTTTTTTTTTTTTTTTTTTTTTTGTCTTTTTTTGAAACAGAATATCTTTATGCAGTTCAGGCTGGCCTTGAGCACACTTTGTAACCCAAGCTGGTCCCAAACTACAATGATCCTCCTGCCTCAGCCTCCCAAATGCTGGGATTACAGGCGTGCACTACCAAACCTGGCTATGTTTTTTTCTCTCTTTTTTTTTGCAGCCTTCTCAATGGACGGTTTGACATGGCCCTACCACAAGCCTACAGGCACCCAGATGGGACACATGGGTGTGACTGCCTACAATGGACAAAAGAAGCAAGGAAGGTCATGAGTTTGATTCCCAGTACCAAAAAAATAAAAAAAAAGAAAGACAAGGAAATTGTGTGATTGCCAAAATAACTATTAAAATCTGGAAAAAGATTATTTCCAAGGGATATATCAGTGGAAGTCTGGAAAAGATACAACAATCTTGAAGTTGTCTGGAAAGAAATAGAACACCCTTGTCTCCAGGCTGGTCTGAACCTTGGACAGAAAGCTCCATGCTCTTAGAGCCACTGCATCTAAACCAAGTGACAACTGAAAATCGACTGGGATTTGCCAGCCACACAAACACTATTACCAAGAAAAAAATTTCTTTGTGCTTAGAGAAAAACAAAGCACAGAAAGGAAAACATACATATATGTGTATGCATATGTATATAAAAAAATAGTTCAGATAGTTATACTACTGATTTTTTTTAGTTCGATGAAGAGAAAGATTCATGCTGGTAACTGTTTGGACCATTGAAAGCAGATGTCCTATGCCCTGGGTGAATGATTTGGGGATGGCAATGCACAACGTATGCACCACTGTTACCCCTGATTGATGCACTTTGAAATTTTGTTATAATTTTTCCTCCTCCTCCTCCTTCTTTTTCTTCTTCTTTCTATTTATCTTTGAATAAAATAGATTTGGGGAAATAAAGCACAAGGACATTGTTATTGGTGCAGTTCCTGTTGTGGCAGAAATAACATAAGTAAACCATTTTGACCATATGGGAAACACATTTCAGTATCCTAGAGATAAGATTGTACAGACTTCACAGCCAAGTTTTCACATGTGCCCTAGGTCAAGTAGGACTAATTTCACCAATTACATCATGCAGCATTGTAAAAGAAAGGAATTCAGGGAGAAATCTGTAATTTGATTAAGTAGCCAATTAAATCTATTGTTGTAAGCAGCAAAATATACCTTCTATGGCCTACTCACATGAAGAACTTAAAACTGAGTCTAAAAAGAAAGTCTGCATTACTCTTAATTTCCCAGTCACATTCTGTTGGATGTAAAGTGAATGGAGTTGATATTTCTTTTTTTCCACATCCTAAAATGAATATTTTGTCCTTTCAGCAGTAGAAATTAGAAACAGCAGCAGCTTATGAAAAATCAGGCTTCACTCCACTGAAAGAGATCATAATTACCCCTCCTTTATCTCAAGTGTTTCCTCCATTATTCACTCAGTGACTTTTCTTGGCCTTTTCATTTACATTTGAAAACACAGAGAACTTTAGAGAGGAAACCACCCCTCTGTGTTAAGTCCTGGCTACAGTCATTTCCCATCAGCACAACCCAGGCAGCTGGGATCTGCATGGCTCTCTCAGGTAACTAGGTGTCTTTTCTAAATTCTGCTCAGAGCCAAGCATGGTGGCTGACACAGTAATCCCTCTGGGAGGCTGAGGCAGGAGGATCATTGTTAATTTGAGGCCTGAGCTGCATAATGAGTATAAGGCCAGCTAGAATACATGGTAAGACAGTCATCCAAAAAAAACCCTGCCTCCACTCACCCAACTCCCAGTCATTTCACTGTGTCCTCTCATCCCCGCACACCTTAAGCCCTCCAACGTCTCTCCCTGGAATGCTGATATTCTTAAAACCCCTCCCTCCGTTTGGTGGCTCTGGAGTCCCCCCTGGCCCCTCAGAGTGCATGCATCTCCATTCCCAGCCTCTGCCCGGCAAGCTTCCTGAGGTCCCTGGCCTTGTTTTGCCTGAGCCTGGACTGCTTTTCCCCACCATCCAGCTGCTGCGTGTTGGGGAGCCCATTCTCCACATCTTTTGACACCCTGTATTTTTCATGAGTCCCTGGTGGTCCCATGAGACCCTGGTGGTGGTCCCAGTTGAATCCCCACTTGGGAGGTTGTCTTCATGAATCCCTGACTTCTGCCCTACCAGCTAATAGTGCTTTTGGCATGAATCACAAATGCATTCAAAATACTTTTCTTGTTCTTTTTTGGAGGGCATAAAATGACACCCGCTTGATAAAAGTAAAACTAATTCATGCAGCAGGTTTTTAACTTTCATTTCTCATTGTTGTTGCTGTTGTTGTTATTGTTTAGTACTGGGAATTATATCCAGGACCTTCACTTTGAGCTACATTCCTGGCCCTTCTGTTTGTTTGTTTGCTTTTATTTCATTTTTATTGTTTGTTCATTTTTGAAGCAGGGTCTCACCATGCTGCTCAAGACGGCCTTGAACTCACTATGTTACCCAAACTGGCCTCAAACTTCCCCAAATCCTCCTGCCTCAGCTGCCCAAGGGCTCCTGTCTCAGCCCCCCAAGAGCGCTGGGAATACAAACCAGTGCCCCCACACAATAGGGTGTCCATTTTTAATATTCCCAGACCTCCTCATCCTCTGAAAAATTATGAAGACAAAGAGAGGCCTAGGTGGGAAATGGCAGCCATTCTCAGGCTGCCTTTGATGTTAGCCTTTTGGGGGGTCGGGAATCAAACTCAAAGCCTTGCATTTGCCAGACAGGCACCACATCACTGAGCTACACTTCCAGCCTTGTGTAGCACTAGAATGAAGGCTTATCTGCTGGTCCTGTGACTCACTCTCAGGATCCTGGCCACAGTGAAACGAGTCCATGAGGAGCCACGCCTCATGATTGCGTCTCCTGACCCAGAAGGGAGGCGATCTGAAGCAACCAAGCAACCATTAACCCGAACCTTAAACCAGGTGCACTGGTCCATGCTCCGGGAGCAAGGAGGCGGTTTCTTCCCCTACGCTGAACCCGGGAAGGAGCCCCACACTTCCCAAAGCTGAGCCTCCCGAGCCCTCTGAAGTCTTATCAGTGTTTATTTACTGCTCTTTGTTGGTTAATGATGCTGGCAGGGAGAGTACTTAGATAAGCCCCCTATCATTGTTCCAGTGTCTCCTCAACAAGTGGCCAAGGGTCTGGGAATTTAGCTAGAAAGAATCCATTTCCTCGGCCTCCTCAGTGACTTAATGGAGACTTTATAAAGTGTCTGCAGAGACCAGAGGTAAACTGACTAGCAAATGGATTCAGTGCTTCTGAGGCCCACTGCAGAGTGATGTTTTTCCTCTTTGAAAGCGTAATGCTAAGCACAGTCAGTGTGGACCACTGGGAGCTGGGTTTATCTGGACCAAGAACACTTTCTGTTCAACTTCAGCATAAAATGAAAGGCTTTATGGCCATCAGGGTCAGGAAATGCATGACAGATTTTACTAGATTATGCTACCATCACAGAGCCAAAAACAAGCCTGTTGTAATTTTAATCTCTATGGGTTCTTTTTAATTTCTAGGCTTTGATGACTTATTAGATTCTCTTTATCCTACATCGTGAAGACTGCTGTATTATTTTTCTAATCTAGAAAGTTCGTTTTACAGGTATGAGAAACCTAAAATATAAGTAAGCAAATGAATAACGAGAGATGCTAGGAAACTAGAAAGCAGCCTCTGGGAGTGGGGGGAAGGGAGGGAAGGAAGGGAGGCTGCAGTGGGGAGCTCAAGACACCACCCTGCCCAGGTCCCCAGTGACATCACTGCTCCCATCATTAGTGTGCACGAAAAAAAGCATAAAAGAGATTTATGCAGACTCACAAACAAAAAGCAGTTTCAAAATCATGTGTGATAAATGATAACCCAACAACTAAAATCACCAATCACAATCCTGAAATCAAATATCACAGAGTTAATGAGAGTGATACAGTTCAGTTAGAACACATAGAACCAGCTGCACTTAGGCCTTATCTCAGCTTGCATTTACTTGTCCTCTGTGTGTGGCAGGGAGGGGTGTAGTACTGGGGAACCCAGGCAGTGCTGAGCCACATCCCCATACTTTTTATTTTGTGTTTTGCACAATGCTAGCCTCAATCTCACGATCCTCCTGCCTCAGCCTCCCAAGTAGCTGGGATTACAGACATGCACTACCCTGCCCAGCACCTGTCAGCTTTTAAATCATTCATAGGAATAGCGTGAAGTTGAAAACCAGTTTTCCGTACTATAAAGGAAAACTACTAAAATGTAGATATTAATATCATAAATGGCAAAGACCTTGTAATTCCAAAGACATTTCTGGTGATAACTTTGAGATACAGAGCAACTCAGCTGCAAATATTGATCAATTAATCTCTCCTGATAACAGCAAGCTTAACAATTTTACCTGCCATTTCTGGCTATTTGCTAAAGCACACTTATCAAAAATAAAAAACTTTTTAAAAAAATTTTAAGACGTGAAAGACAGGAAAGCATCACATATGTGATGTGCACTGTATCACACATCAAAGAAGAGGAAAGAATTGGATTACTTATCCAGAATGCACTTGGGGAGAAGAAAAACACCAAAACATTATTCTTTATATTTTATCTGGCCATTCAGTAATTTTATTAATAAAATACATTTATAAATTTCTAAAATATATTAATAAAGTAATAGATATTATGCCTATTCACAGAGAGATATAACTTCATCTAAAAATCAATCACCACAGTATTTCCAGGCTTATCACTTTTAAAAATCTTATTTAAATTTTTATTCAAGTTGAAATATTATTTGAAAAACAAATTTTTTATTTTAATTTTCCAATAACTTTTTTTAATTTTAAGACAGTCTGCATAGTTCAGGCTGGCCTTGAGTTCCTTAGGTAGCCGAGGCTGGTCTCAAGCTCATGATGATTCTCCTGGCTCAGCCTCCTGAGTGCAGGATTGGCCGGCATGCACCATCATGCCCAATGACCTTCAGTTGATCACTTAAATGAGCACATACTGACATCCTCTAGGAAGTCAAGTCTGTGGGTAACACAGAAACAGCTGTAACCCACCAGGGTGCACCAACAGCTGGCAGTCACTTCATTCTGTCCCACGGTAGATGCCTCCGTATCACACATCACCTTTCTATGCCCTGAGTGACAGTGATTCTCGCACGTGTAGCCCACATTCAGCAACACAAGTCACTGTCGAGTCCCCTATTTACCTGGACCAGGAGATCTCCATAAAATACTGGGCTAAACGAGCTCTGTTTTTCTCCACTGTTTCTTCAGTAGAAGATTAAACCAACATGTCAGAGCTGAGTCTGGGGGAAGCAGTTTTATCA